AATGCCGATTATTACCAAACTGTCCATAGTTACATAGCAATATTGTGATTTGATTTGATAGATATTATCACAAGGAATACTTTGACATAAAAAAAAAATTAATTCAGTCACGTAGTTTTCGAGATATTGAGGAAAAAAGATTTTTGAGAAATTGCTGTATCTCGGAAACTACACTGACAAAATAGTACATTAGAGTACAAGGGCACAAATTTCGTTTTCAACGAATGTGTAGTTTACAGGCCGAGCCGAAGGCGAGGTCTGTACACACATTCGTTGAAAACGACATTTATTACCGAGTGCTCTATAATATTTTATGTCAAGTCGTGCAGAAGTCGAGTTTTGAGCAGGCTGCGCGAAGCGCAGCGTGCGGTAAACTCGACTTATTGCACGGCGCGACATAATAGTATATTGTGTCATTAGGACCGTAGACGGAGGTTTGCGATGAGTGCTGCTAACTCACACGAATCGCAAACCGACGTCACGGTCCGTATGACACATACTATTTTTTGTCATGAAGGCCCGTTGAAGGTGAGGGGGAGGAGAAGGGGAGGGGGCGCAGAAGCGGGGTCCAGGGGCCGCAGGCCCCGGTGGGGGGGGTTGGGGGGGGGGAAGCCCCCAAATATGCACTGTCATTTCGTTTTCCCACTGTAGGAAAACGAAATGACAAGTGAAGAGAAAATATTGAAGAAAAAGAGATGCAAAATCCTAAATTGAGATTCGAAAGAACGAATGCAAAAGTTGTAATTCACGGAGTCTGTCAAAAACATTCAAAAAACATCTAGATGAGAATGGAAATCTTCCTCCTCCTGAAATGGAAATTGCAACAAATTGAAAGAATAAAAAGAAGGATTAATCATTTTTCTAAATTTATTCTCATGAGAAAATCAACGTGTGAACATCTACAGTTTACAACTTTTCTTTTTCATCGTTCCTCTTCTTCTCACAACATACTCAAATTTTTCATCACATTTTAATAGAAATATATATATAATCTATTCAAAATAGATATATAACGAGAAAGTGAATATAATCTCTTTATTAAACTAATATTTTGACAATATAACCCTCAAGTTACGACTGACTCCCTAGCAACGGAATAACAACTCCTGATGTCATCGGCAATGACGGTGGCGCATCGTATTAGTGGTGAACGATCCGCCGAGTTTTCAAGCAAGTGACAGCGATAACCGCACACTTCATGTTGTATTCCTACGAAGGTTTTGTGGGTTGCCCATCTAGAAACTGTATGTTTTTATTGTCCTAGGGCTGCTAACTCGAGTTAACCATACCTGTGCTTCGTTTAACAGACCTGGTCTGTTAAACGCCATTTAGCTTCCCTCAAGACAGCTATAGTAGGCGCTACCTAACGGGCCTGAATGACGATAAACTTATTTTATCATGAGCATTTTATTTGAAACAACTATCATTTGGTTGTTAATTTTCAAATAAATATTATTTCATATTGAGTACCAATTATCTCTTCTTGAGATACATTTGATGGGGAGAAATCGAACTTCTCTAGAATTGAAGTTCCTTTTATTTGTCGCAATAATGAGAGTATTTGATTCCTTTCTAGCCAAAAGTTTGCTAACTCCAGAAATTCGTTGGTTTACTCCAAAATCAAAATTATTCTCACGACTAAATATGTTGTTATCTCAATTAACACGATCATACGTTGTTCCAGGTAAATTATAACTGAAGTGAGCATTTCGTATGTCGAATCAGGATGAATATTGTTACGTGGAAAAAGCATTGAGATTGCAGTAAGATATCGTTGAGTTGAAAGTAGTTTATATTTCTTGACTGAAAAAATCTCGTTAGTTTACAATAACAGAATCACAGATTACGGCGATTCAACACAAACTTGGATATCACAAATTTCGTTCAATGTGATGTACGGAAAGCTCAATTTAAACATCGGCTTCATTCGAGAAACCAACATTCAATTCATTCCCCAATGCAATCATCTCCTAGCTACGAATTTTTGATCAATTCATGAAAGTAGAAAATTTCTGGACTGGACATTATATTAGGTTCAAAAAAATAAAACTTCTCTATTTTTGTGGTGAATACATGTGACTTGACGCCAAGGCTTGTTGTATTTGATTCAAATAAATGTATCTCATGACGAAATAATTGATATTCACCATACGATCTTATTTATTTGAAATTAGTTGAAGTATATAATACTTATTCTAAGAAAGAAACATCTCAATAAAAATAGTGTTTTCCATCAGTGTACTTGACCAATTGAACTGAAATTGCGTTCAGAATTGCTCCCAAGTAATACCAATTATGTGACGAAATTTCAGATTTTTAGCTTCAACTTTAGTTCTTTATCTGCGAAGATTTATAAACATTTTCCAAAATATTGCACACACATTCGGACATCCGTGCTCACATTCTATTCTAAAAAGAACATACACTTAAAGTCGATAACGATCGATATCTCGCAAGTCTGTCACGCTTATTCCTCAATGGTTCCAGTTGTCGGAGGCGGTAAATTTAATTCATGATTAATTTAATTTTGAGATTTTCAATTATGGTTGTTACAATTACAGCGCATTGTAGCGCGCGTTCGGTCTCGTTTTCTAAAAACATCATGTTTTCACGTTTTACGACATTTTACGTCATTTCCAAACAAAAGAAAAAGATCGTCAAAATCAACGATTACAAAACGTCCATTCAAAAGCAAAAAGTTCCTTTTTTTTCTCATATTCCACTCAACCTTTTAAAAAACTGCTCTATTCATACCGCTGCGTTCCCCTCTCCCTCCCAAATTCACGGAATGATATTCATCATCAAAGAGGGCTCGTTTGGCGTAACAAGTGTTACCCTTGCAAAAACATGTCACATGAAATTCAAATGTCCACGTTTGCCTGTCGACCAGTGGTTACACTCTTCTCCCCCATTCCCCCTGCATTTTTTATTCAACCGAGAACGTGAGCAGGGCTCCGTTTACATTATACACAAATCTATCCCACCTCCCCTCCTCCCCAGTTCTCAAACCCCCACGGGCTATTCCGCTTGACGATCATTTGCACTGCGACCGTACCAACGGTCTGTGTACAATTATCACGGGAATAATCAAAACCGTCAATCATCGTTAATTAATGTGAACGTTTAATTTGCAAGCTTTGCTACAATGTCCGTTATATTTTTAGCCGCCGGTGGAGTTAAAATTTTAACGTAAATTGTAGTTGTGAATTCGCTTCGTGATTTTTGCCACCAAGAGAGACACATGATTCATCTTTTTAATTAGTGAATTTTTTATTCGTAGCTCGTATTTTTGGTATTCACTCATTAATTAATACTTTCGGGGTTTTTCATGCAAATGGGGACATTGTATGCGGTCCAATTATTAACTTGAAAATAATTTCCGTCATAGAGGGACCAAGTTTGCAGTTTCCAGGAAAAAAAACGCGTGAAAAAAAATTCTATTACATTTTTATTTAAATTTCTGTTGTTTTTTCCCGATTCTGTTGAGACATTCCGCAGCTTATTTGCGAGTTTTTTCTCAATAGAAGTTTTCAGTGGGAAGTATTTGACAAATTAAATATTTAATAGAATTTGATTTTTCGGGACAACTTATTCTACTGAAATATTTTGTATAGAAATTCCGCGGCTCAAAGCTCCTTTGTTTATTCCATTGCTTGGATGAAGCTAATAAAAATTGAGTGATAAAAACTTTGAAAGGAATAATATTCCGTAATCCGGGATACTTTATCCTCAATTCCGGAATAATATTCGAGAATCAGAAATATTTAATTGTGGAAAAATACAACGATTGCAGCCTGTAAAGAACAGCGATTTTAAATTTGTGTTCAAATAATAACACGCACACGCATAAATATGCAACGTACCACCCTCAAATCGCATTCAGAATGTGCAGCTCAGTCCTTTACAATAAACTTTCCAAAAATTAATGGAATTGTTAATGAAAAGTTCAACAGAAATCCAATTGAATTTTCTCGTGTATGAATGTCTGAATTTCGCAATATTTACAGTTTTCCTTTAAATGAATACATACGTTTATTAATTTTCCCCAAAAACATTGTTGAAACGCGAATAAAAAAAAACGCGAATATAAAATTTTTTTCTCAGTGTACACTGAGAGAAAAAGTATGCCATGAAGCAGTTACCACCTGCTTTTAGTTGCCACAAAATTTTTTTCATACAAAATCGGTTCCCCTCGTGTACTGAATTTTATCTGAGGATTTTTGTTACTATTACCAAATGCGATTGTTGTTTAACCTTTTCGTTTAGTTATTAAACATGACTAAGGTGAATGTCCCAGTATCTGACTTTGGCCGAGTAGTTGATCGTTTTTGAATATGTAACATACTTCCTCAGTCTTATAATTTCTTCATATGTGACGAAGTTATATATCCAATTTATATCGAGCAACCCGCGCGGTCAGTGTAATGGTTACACGGGGATGATTGTTATTTTACCAAAATTCACTTTAATCCATAAAATTACTATGGACTGTTGTTATGGTCACATTCACGGAGAGAATGATTCAATAAAAATTACGTATCTTTTCCGTAATTCTGGAGCGAAATGTGGTTATAGGAAATTTTACGAAACTGTCACGCAATTTATCCGGAGCGGTCCGTAATTTTTATCTGAATCTCCTGTAAGAAATTACGATACCATCACTTAAATTTCCTAAGTCGATTCCGTAATCGGTGAGTGAATTGTGAGTTCCGTAATTTTTACTGAACATTTCTGTCCGTGTTGTGAGTTAAGTCACTTCTCAAAATATATGTTAGAATATATCTTTTGCTGCGATAACAATAAGTATTCAGTACGTTTCGATCTTGAGAATCCCACTTCTCAAATTTGTAGAAGAAAATTGTAAACGCTACAAATGAATTTGTGCACAGTACAGGAGACCTTCACACTTTTAAAATAGTTATCAATACCACGGGAATTTCTGTCAGTGTATAATGAATACCTCCAAAAATATGAAAAACCACTACATCTTCACATTTCAGATGAACACATCGAAAGTACTCACGTGGGAGACCAACGTGGGAGTTGCTGATTTAATGGCTGAAAAATCCCGGCCGCTCGTAAAGAGATTCACAGTGCCAGTGGGTGGTGGTTTTGAGGCGCAAGTGAGATTGTTAATACCACCAGGCGCCGACTTGACCGGTACCACCAAGTATCCAATGCTAGTTTACGTGTAAGTATTCCCACACCAGTGATAAATCACCCGGAATGTTCACCATGGGCCTGCCCACCAATTTTTCGTGATGCATTCGATTTTCCCCGCTCTTCTTATTTCATTTTCACACACTTTTTCCCCCGAGTTCTTGGCTCTTTTTTTTGCAACCCTCGTGCCAACTTATTCACGCGGAAATGTCGCAGTGGAGTAGAGAAAAAATGGGAGTGAATGTTTTCAGTTAGAAATTAGAATGAAAATTAGAAAATGGCATTATTGGCTTCCGGATGGATGCCGCGTTTGGTTTCAGCATTGCGCCGACGTCAATAATCATGACCGTGAAAGCCTTAAAACTAAGAAAATTAGAAAACTTTCTTTTTATATTCATTTTAATAATTTTTGTTTCTTTTTTTACACTGAGAAAATGGAAGTGAAAATAAATTCGAGAAGCCCAAAAAAAATCATTCGCCATTTATAATTTTTCTCGTGAATTTTATTATGCAAATATTTGATAACAACAACTAATTTCAACAGAAATTTTCAATTTCCTCCAGTGGAAACATCGTTAAAAAAATCCAAATCATTTTCTACCGAATTGTTAAAATATTTCGTCTCCAGAATTTAGGATTTTTCAAATTTTCAGTTGGTCTATAATTAAATGAAGTGCGAAACATGTGTTCGTTATACATTTCCACATCCATTGCGACCTTTTCGATAGTATAAAAATATCTTCATCAGTTATTATTGGCTATTGTATCAGCCTCCGCGTTTATGGGTAATTCCGCTCAGAGTTTGTGGGTAATGCCGCTCAGGATTTCTATAGGGCTGCTAGACTCTGCAGCTAGAGGGCGGTCAAGTGACAGCTCGATTGTTTGGGGTAGCCGGTGGCCACTGGAACATCAGATCCGATGAATTAGCCCCTCATGTAGAGATATTCCAAATTTTTATTTTTTTCCTCATTGAAGTAGTTTTGAAGAAAATTGCGAGCTAATAAAAAACATTTGCTAGTTAGTACTTTTTTTAAAATAAATTTTTGAAAAATCACCCCTGAAAAAAAAGGCGTTATCCCCCCTACTTCATTATTTCCAAAAAATTTTATCACCAATCGGTAGCAAATTGTTTGAAGATTTTTGCGAGTTAAGAAAAAATCGTATGCATTCCTATTATTTTGTGTAAATTAACAATTCCAATTTCAAATGAAAACCAGAGTTGATGACCAGAGTTTGTAGCAGAGATGTCAGACAAGATATGAATGTTTTTTTTTGCTCAAATGAAGGAGCGGGTCGAGAAATGGCGTGCAGAAGTCTTCAAAGATGACAAATCTCTCTAAAGATGATGTATGTTTTCAATTGAAAAGCGCAATTGTGACAACATTGTCCAGTGGGGTCTAGGAGTCACCCCTGGTTCAAAACCATCTTTAAAGGCTCTAGCACGCCATTTCTCGACCCGCTCTTTC